CCCCAAAACCCCAAAACCCCAAAACCCCAAATAAAATGATAAATATTGATAATTATAATAATTTAAAATGGAAAACATAATCCATGCCATTGAATTTAAAAGTAACTTCCAAGCTAACTGATAGGATCAAAGGCAAATAGATCTGTTATAAGTAATAAGTAAGCGTAACATCGTATATTTTCTGCCCTTATTTTTATAAATGTTAAAAGTAATCTTGACTTTTAACTATAATGTAAAAATATTTGAATTTGAATCAAAAATATATAGAGATAAGAAAATTTCCTTAAGAAAATCCATTCAAGATATCGTAAGCAATAGACTAAAAATAGAACAAATCAATATTCGATGGAGTATGCTTGACGCCAGCACTAAATGCAAGTCATTTAAACCATGGAATTGATACTGTAAGTTAACACTAATAATAGAAGATGATCAAGAGAAGAGGGTAGCAAAAGTCGTAAAGCTAAATTAAGAAGATCTATAAACTTATCAACAACTAAAAGTAAGCAAGACTGCCTCCTTTTGAATATTGATAACTATTTCAGACCTTGGTTTAAATAAGATGCTCAAAATGAAAAAGAAGAACAGAGAAAGCTCCAATAAGACAATTTCAAAAATGGGGATTCATCAAGAGTTATTTCAGAGATAGTAATCTTATTCTTTACCTTTAGTGGCTGGACTGCATCTAGTTGAAAAATTGCAAGGTTAAATAGATCTAAAAGATGTAAGCAGTTTTAGCTTTATTGTCAATTATATAATCAGCTTTTGTCTTCGCGTATGTTTTCAAAAAAATATTTAATGTGTGTATAAAATAGCATCACGATTAATAACCAGAGTTTGAATTTTAATTTTCCTTTTTTTTATTTTAGATTAGTTTTTAATCAAAAGATAACAAGTATAAGGAATTTATTCGGATTTTTAGCCCAAAAGCACATTTGTTTGTAATACAAACAAATGATATTTGAAACAATTAATTGCATTCAGTAATTTAGAAATTTTTGAAAACTAATGATGTTATAGGTAAAAAGTTAATGCCTCAAAATGTATCAGTAAAAACTCCAAACGGGTTCAAGAATACTATTGGTAAGTCACATTATTTGTTTTCGCTATCTAAAACATTATTCCATATTGTTTTTCAATCAAAGATGCAGTTTGAAACAATGTACAGAGTATTCGACAAACAGAGCTGAAAACTGTTTGATGTGATTGCATAAGGATGAGCAGATTCGTTCAATGGCAATTGAAATTGAAGAATTGACTCAAAGTTTCAGTCAGCTAATGTAATTCATCTAGTATTTGGATTAGATTAAATTATAAAATTAGTTTCAAGTAGTCGAAAATAATATCTATTTGATTTCATTAGTGTTTTCCCGGGTTGTTATTAGGCCAGATTGTGCTAAACAAAATTGAAAATCTTGTTGTAGACTAATAATACCAGAGATCTTGTAAAATCTTGTCATTGCTTCTAAAAATCTTTCTGTCAGCTAGATTGATTAGCTACTTGACAATTCTAGAGCATTTTTATTGAGATAGTAAGGGCTACCAAAAATTTTTGATATATCTCAATCGTAGTTCATTTTGAGGAGATTTAGTATCAGTAAGGCTGAGTGTCTCAAGAGGCAATTCTATATAGCATTAGGTATGGTATTTTATTGAAGCAATCTGATATCAATTGTAATTCATTTTATTCCTTTCTAAACCCTCAAAATTTGATACACATAAACAATAGTAAGCATTTAAGTCAATTTATTAGGGTTAATACTTATATTAAACAATACTACAGTATTTCTCGCTCAACCTAGCTTCTCCACCTAAAACACCAACTTCAGAGTGCATGTTACTAAAAATATTCGAAGTTAATTACTTGTTTACATCTGGCATGACGGACAGGCATAGTACTGCTTTCTAAATTGAACAATATTTGCGGACATATCTGCAGTTATCTTCTCACCTAATTTAGGTTATCCTAAATTTTAAATGTGTTGAGATTTCAATGCTCACTACTTATATTTTAGGTGCAGTATGCATGTGGAATTATATAAAGAGTTTGACTTGTTGTATTATTGCTTTGTGCTAAAATTGTGTTTAGAACAAATTCGATTGAAGATCAGAATACGGTGGCAATTTTGAATGAGGCCATAAAGCAGACAGAGATTAAATGAGAGTAAGTTTTATTAAACCATATGCAACAGGAAGGTTTGAAGCTGCCTACATTTAGTTTTTATCCTAATAGAACTAATTGTTTTAATGTTTTACAATATTTTACATTATCTAAGTTTATGAAATCTCAATTGAGTACTTTGAGTCTTAGATCAATGCTTTAAACTGAAAGAACTGACTGACTAAGAATATAGCTTAGAGACATCATTTTTGCAGACCAAAGTGACTTTGCTTGAAGAAGCATTGAATTCTAAAAATAAAGACTTAGAAACACTGGATGCTTTTAAAGAGAACAATAGTCATCTGTTGGCTCTTCTAGACAAATATGATCAAAAGATGGTTGACATGCAGAATGACATTGACATTCGGGATTTAAAGATTGACCACTTATAGGTAAACCTTTTGTTCCTAGCCTGTTCCCAGTTTCTTTTCTTTTGATGTAAAATTGGGTTTGTATAATCAATTTAGTATCGCTATATGAGAAGGAAGATAAAGGTAAGTATTTTTGAATAAAACAGTCTAATTAATTTAGAAGTAGATTTTAATCTTCTTGAGTCGAAGATCAGATTTCTATTAGGTAATGCAAGCCAAAGTTAATTAGACAATTTGGTTTTACCTTCGGGTTAAATTGAGTAGTAAAACTCTTTTCTTTGAGGACATTCATTGGTTGCTACGAAATATTTTATTTTAACCATTGAGAGATAAAATGGCCGCACTCACCATGTGAATAATAAAATATAGAATTATTGGATTACTGTAAGCAAAAGCTTGAGGATGAAAACAACAGGTATTATATTTTATACTGAAAAATAATGGAGACGATCAAATTAATCATATTTACTCCACAATAGAGAAAAGGAGTTAGTGGCTAAACATGCTTTCTAATTTGATACCTCTACTGAAATTAAGTTTATACACTGACTTCTTTCCACCGTTGTGGCGGAAACATTATTTATTTTTTACCTCAATTATTTTCCTGTGCTTCATTTTTAGCTAACCTAAATTTTAGAAAGATTGATAATTTATCAGGAGGGTTCAATGATCCATCTTCTGAGGTTTTATATAATGAGTCAATGAGCCATACCAACCCTAAAAGTGAACCTGATTTTGCATCTGTACGAGTTGACAGTTATTTTGTGTAAATAGCAATATAATAATTTCAACTGGAAATATGGTATTTGGGGTTTTGGGGTTTTGGGGTTTTGGGG